CTCTGTCACCAGGCTGGAGGGCAGTGATGCAATATTGGCTCACTGCAACCTGTGCCTCCTGGGTTCAACCAATTCTCGTGCCTCAGCCTCCCAAGTAGCTGGGATTACAGGCACCCACCACCAAGCCCAGCTAATTTTTGTAATTTTTTTTAGTAGAGATGGGGTTTCACCATGTTGTCCAGGATGGTGTTGATCTCTGGACCTCATGATCCGCCCGCCTTGCCTTCCCAATGTACTGGGATTACAGACGTGAGCCACCGTGCCCAGCATCTTATTAGTTTCATTGTGAGCATTCAAGATTATTGTCTTGGTATTTTACATATTTTGCAATGAACACTATTATGCAGCACACTCCTTTTTCTATAATTTTGGTTATTTATCTAGAAAAGAGTTCAAGAAGTGTAGTCAACAAAGATTGTCAACATGTTTATAGACTTTTATGACCTTTGAGACATATTGTCATATTGCTTTCCAAAAGGATTTTGCCATTTATGCTATCTATATATATAAAAGTACCAGTTTCACCATGCTCTTCCTGCATTGGTTTTTATCTTTTTTTTTTAACAGAGACAGAGAGAGAAATAGGGTATTGCACAGGCTGGAGTACAGTGGCACGATCTTGGCTCAATGCAGCCTTGACCTCCTGGGCTCAAGCAATCCTGCCTCAGCCTCTCAAGTAGCTGAGATTACAGGTGCACACCACCACAACCGGCTACTTTTTGTATTTTTTTGTAGAGACGAGATCTTGCTATGTTGCCCAGGCTGGTCTTGAACTCCTGGGCTCAAGCATCTCTCCCACCTGAGTCTCTCAAAGTGCTTGGATTATAGGCAGAAGCCACTGTACCTGGCCTTTTACCTTTTGTTTTTTAGCTAATTTGTTAGGCAAAGTTTGTCTCATTATGGTTTTCATTTGCATTCATTTTATTATTGCTTTTTCATATTAGTTTACAACTTCTATTTATCCCTTTGTGAACTGCCTCTCTGATACACCTACCACACCTAACACACCACATGCACACATGTGCACACCACATGATTTAGAATTAATTGGTCAGAAGGTTTCTCGGTCCATTTTGGAACTCGTGGGGGTTGGAGATACAGAGAAAGCCCCATCATGTCTTCTGTGCTAGATGAGCTCAGTAGGCTCAAATTGAGACTTCTCCTTCTCTTTACCCTTAATAGACAATGTGTCTACCAAGCCTTGCAGATCAGACCTTTCTATGAAACCCTCCTGTATTGCTACATGGTGGTCTAGACTTTCCATGTGGGTTTATATGTTATGCACTCCCGAGGCGGTTCAGCTCTTCTGAGCTGGTTGGCTTATGATGTGGGTTAAAAAGTACCAGGTAAATAGTGGGGTCAGAACTGTGTAACCTTGGGCATCTTCTTACAGGGATAGGTAACTGAGAGGGAAAGTGACATGTTTTCCAAATCACATGTATTTAAAATAATTAAAACACACACACACACACACACACACACACACACCCCACAAAAGAGAATTCTTTATAAAAGAGAATTCTTTATACAAATCCTCTTCCGGGACTCACAGCTATTCTGGAACCCAAGCCCAGCTCAGCACTAAACACATTCCTCTTCTTTGTCATGAAAGCCATTGACTGAACAATAAGAGGAGGCCTCAGTTTACCTTTCCGATCAGTTTTCTCTTTCGTGTCTTTGTTTTTATGGATCTTTTTGAGGAAAGGAATTGGGTAAAGTGTCTTCTCTCTCCCTAGTCAATACCTGGCCTTACCAGCCATGTCTGTAGCTGAACTCAGGACCCTAGCTCGCGTATTATGTGTTCTTACGGAATGCACCCCTTCCTAGAAACCCCTCACATGCAAGCACTACCGAAACACAAAACTCACAGGTTCCCAGGGCCTTTGCCAAGCCCCTCTGGAGGTCCAGGCACCCAGGAATGATGTTCTCTGGGACCCATTTCTCTACTCTACGAGGCCGACCCCAGCTCTGCCCTTCAGCTCCTGACTCGCCCTCACCTCTCGGGTCTTCTGCAGGATCTGCTCGAGGAGGATAAGGAAGTGGCCCGGGTCTCTGCTGACCAGCTCCTGCAGGCTCCAGCAGTTCAGACACAGCCCAGCTTGAAAAGGAGAGAGAGGCAAGGGGGTCAGTTCTGGTGTTTTCCGGCCACACTCAGGTAGGGATTGTAGAGAAGGGGCATTTATGCTGGAACATTCTTCTGCGGTATTGCACCGAAACACTCCTTTCTTTTTTTTTTTCTTTTTTTTTTTTGAGACAGAGTCTTGCTCTATCGCCCAGGTTGGAGTGCAGCGGCGCAATCTCAGTTCACTGCAACCTCCGCCTCCCGGGTTCAAGCGATTCCCCTACCTCAGCCTCCCAAGTAGCTGGGATTACAGGCACGCGCAACCACGCCCGGCTAATTTTTGTATTTTAGTAGAGACGGGGTTTCAACATGTTGGCCAAGATGGTCTCGATCTCCTGACCTCATGATCCACCCGCCTTGGCCTCCCAAAGTGCTGGGATTATAGGCATGAGCCACCGCACGGGGCCTGGAACACTCCTTTCTAAAGTAAGTGAATCTAGGAGAAGATGCTGGATCAACACTCAACCCTACCATGCCCCATCAAGACATAATGACAAGTTCCCTGTTCCTGCATATGCAAGAGGCACAGGGATTGGAGATGTGGGCTGGGATCCACGTTGGAGGATAATGAGCTCACCACGACTCCGCTCCCTGTGGGAGCACCAGTTCTTCCACAACCTCCTCTGCCCTGGTTTCCTACAGTGGGTTCTGGTACCTATGAGTTGCAGGGAGGTTAGAACAGAGGCAGAAACTGCTGGAAGAATACAGAGAGGAGCCACGGTGAGTTCCATCCCAAGACACAAGACTGAGTCTACAGCAGCCGTGGAGCTTCCCAGGAGTGGCAATGGAGCCCAGGAAGGGGAAGCTAAATAAGTTCTATTTTAAAAGCTGCCATGAGCACTGTGTCACTCTGTAACTTCCCCAGACTTTCTTATTTTGTCAATCTCTGTTTCCCTGCAGTCAGCAAGGGTAAACCCCTAAAAATTAAAGGGACGGCCCGGGGCGGAAGAGCAGGGAGGGGCTGTGTGTATGTGTGTGTGGGGTGGGGAGTGAGAGCCCCAGGAGTGGAAATGGATTGAACTTGAACTTCGTGGAGCTCAGGCTCCAGGACCTCTCACGTGTACAGGCTCCCTCCAAAGTTCTGGAGGCTTCTAATAATGTGTCCATGTGGTCACAGGTTGTCAGATAATTTGCAAAGATCAGATATTTTTATATTCTTTTGCTTAATGATATCCCTCTCCCCAGCCCTATGAGCTTAGCCTCCATCAAAACCTGGGTAGGAGGCAAGAAAGAAAACTACCATTTATTGACCACCTACTATGTGCCAATACAGTGCTAGGCCTCTGAATACATTATCTTCATTGAGGCTCCCACTGTCCCTTCAGGAAAGTGGTTCCATTGTTATTATTCCCATTTTGCAGACAAGGCAAGTAGGGCCAGGGTTCTGGGAGGGTGAGTGGCTTGCGTAGGGTTGTAAAGCCAATGGGAGATAGCTTTAATCCAGGTCTGTCTCGCATTCCAAAAGCCAAGGACAGCCTCTCGGAGGAAGAGACATTTGAGCTGAGACCTGGATGAGAAGGAGCCAGCTATGTGCAGTTCCCAGGGAAGAATTGCAGGCAGCAGGTGCAAAGGTACTGGGGTAGGGAGGGACCAGGTATGTTCAAGGAGCACTGGGTGGCTACTCACGGAGAAGTTAGGGAGGCCAGTGAGATACGGGGCATGAAAAAGCTCTACAAGCATAAGGAATTATTTACAGCCAGGCACCAGCCTTCAGAGACACAACTGCCCGGGACTGCAGACATCCTATTTCTCAGTCCTGGGAGATGGGAAACACAGGGCCCTCCTGCTCTCCGCAGCTCTGCTGAGTTTTCCCTTATTCTACAGGGAAGAGAAGGATAGGGCTATGAGGGAACCAGAAGCAAACCAACGGGAGAATTCTGGGGAGAGCTGCCTGTGGATTCCCAGCTGCTTTTTCAGAATCAGCAGTTGTGGTTTTCTAAGCAGATTCAATGGATTCTTCCAGAAGCAAAAGGCAGCCCTGAGTAGGATGAGGAAGATGCCATGGGAGAAGGGAGAAAGTGCCGGATACTGAGGTTTGACGACATCAAGTGTTGTGCCGGGCACCTGCCCAGGTGAAGCCTGGGGCTTGCCCAAGTCACACAGACAGGGTTTGACCTAGAATCTACCAGCTTCCATGCCTGGTCCAGAGCCCATCGTGGCCCCTGAGGCTTCCTTGAGCCCTCAAACGCCTCCCGGGCTCCCTCAGACCTACCTGACCAGGAGGTGGAGCGGCGGCCGAGGCTGAGTCCATGCAGGCAGCGTTCCAGGGCATGCTGGATGCGGTCCTCCGTGCATGTCGTGGCCCCTGGCTGCATCCTGGGTCATTGCCTGCATGGGGGACAGACACTGGTCAGCTTGTCGAGCTCACTTCCTAGAAAGCACCTGGTCCAGTAAAGACAATGGGTGCTCACAGTGCAGCGCGATCAGCCCAGCCCAGCTACAGATCAGGTGCTGTGGAAACAGCACCAGGGGCCTTACAGCTGCCTCCAGGGTAGGAACGGCGTCTGGAGGGCCACATCTGAGTAGCAGGACAGAGCACCCCTGCAGCAGAACAGGACAGAGGTGTGGGAAGTAAGGGGTCAGGGATGGGAGCAGAGAAGTGGAAAGGGATCTGCTTTCCCCACTGGGCAGTGGGGAGCATCACCAAGTACCCAGGGAGTGGTCAGACCCCAGTGGGCTGGGCAGGAAGACCCTGAGGGGAAAATCAGAATCACTTGGAGGACTTTTTCTGAATTTCCAGGGCTGTGTTTTCCAAACCTCCAGGGATGGGGCAGGAGCGTGTTCCTGATGAGAAGGCCACAGGAACTCCCTCAATATGCTTGGAGGGTGCTCCCTCTGATTGGGTGCCCAGGTCACAGGCACCTGTTTCCTTTCTGCCCTAACCTCCACTTTTGCCATTTTTCTTTCCTTCCTCTGGGGCTTGGCAATGTTACCTGTCATTCAAAGACCTACCCTGCCCTCCTTCCTCATCCTACTGAGGAGAATCCAAGGGGTGGTTAGCTGAGCTGGAAAGTCACTGAAGTGGGAATTTCAGGAGGGTTTTAGCCCCGTATGGGGAACTGAGAGCCCCCAGCAAGGCCAGCCCAGCTTCTTAGTTATGTATGAGGGCTCCCGGGTCTCTGGGGAAGCCACGGAAGGTGATTTGGCACAGTGAGTAAGCCTGGCTCCGGCATCCAACAGACTTACACTCAAACCTGGACTCTGATATTTGCTTAACTATGTGACTTTGGGCAAACACTTTAACTTTTCCAAACTTCCATTGACTGATCTGTAAAATGGGATGATAGTGGTGCTAAAGCCTCATGGGGCTCTTGGGAAGATAAAATGCTGTGGCAGATGCGCTGAGTAAGCCTCCAACACGCAAGAGCTGTCCTGCTACAGTCATTGCCATCATCGCCCCTGGCCCCAGGGCATGTCACTGCACTCACCCCTTCTGGGCAGATCCCTTCACTGGCCAGTCAGGCCAGGCCGTAAAGGGATGCCAAGAAAGCTGCAGTTCAGCTCTGGAAGCCAGAAGAGGAAGCACAGAGCTCAGAGCTGAGCCATGCAAATGACATACAAAGAAGGATAAAATCCTAACCTGGGTTCAGCTGTGCGGCTGGAGTATTCAGCTTACGGAGGTCCCACACAGGCAAATCCTCCTGCTTCCCCAGCCTGGGAGGTACCACTGGCCGAGTGAAAACTAAGCCCTTTGTGAGCTCTCCAGCATCCTTTCACGGTGTCTGTGGTAGGCTATGCATGCCAAAGCCGGACGGTGCAGCAGCGGGCACACAGGAAGCGGCACAAGCACCTTGGTTTCATTGCAGGTTCACTGATGGTCTGCCATGTGCCAGGCACTAGGGAGATAGCAGTGAACCAAGCAGCTGTGCTCCTTGGTGGGAGACACAGACACTGAGCAATGGAACCAAGACAGACGTGATTCCAGAAAGTGAAACGTACTGTAAAGGATAGTGCTGGGAGTGGGACAAGTGGGGACCCCGCTACAGGGTGTTGGGGGGTCAGGGAGGTCTCTCTAAAGAAGGGACATTTAAGCCGGATGAGGAAGCCAGGACAAGTGATGGGGAAGAGTGTTGGAGGAAGGGGAGCCAGCCCATGCCATGGTCTGGGTGCAGGAATTAGCTCGCTGAGGACCTGGACCCAGGAGCATAGGCCAGGGTGCCCGGCTGGCCCAGGAGACAGACTAACCCATTAGGTCCCACGCCTTCTGGCTGTGGAGGTGAAGAGCTGAGTTCAGAAAACCTTTCACGGGTGGCTGGGCGCGGTGGCTCATGCCTGTAATCCCAGCACTTTGGGAGGCCAAGGTGGGCGGATCACTTGAGGTCAGGATTTCGAAACCAGCCTGGCCAACACGTTGAAACCCCATCTCTACTAAAAAAGATTTTTAAAAATTAGCCAGGCGTGGTGGTGGGCACCTGTAATCCCTGTCACCCAGGAGGCTGAGGCAGGAGAATCGCTTGAACCCTGGAGGCGGAGGTTGCAGTAAGTCGAGATCACGCCACTGCACCCCAGCCTGGGTGGCAGAGCGAGATTCTGTCTCAAAAAGAAAAAAAAAAAGAAAGATAGAAAACCTTTCACTGGTGACTCAAGACCTTGGGTGTGTCCATCAGCAGCACCTGGATGCCCAGAGACATCCTGAGGCCCCTCCGTGTGACTTTTACAGTTGCCTTTGGGGCTTCTGTTAACACCTCCACAGGCAGCTCAGGTAGTGAGTCCACTGACCCTGAGCCAGACTGGGCAGACCCCTCCCTGACCTGGGATTGTGCTGCTACCTGGCATGGATGAGCATCTGTGGGGGACTGACACCTGTGACGAAGGCTCATCTTTCTGCCTCCCATGGCAGCCCGACCATAAGACTCTCTGGAGGTGGGTCCTATTCCAGCTCAGGGCTAACGGCACCCGCTGGAGGAGGTAGAACACTAGGCACCTTCACATGGATGAGCCTGGGGCATAAACGGCTGGCCCAGATGTCATCAACAACCCTTTGTCCTCAGGCTGAGATCTCCCAGGTTATCCCCCGGGGCAAGTTCTTGGAGGGAGCTCAGAGACCTCGTTTTACAGAAGGGGAGGCTGAGGTCCAGTGAGGATAAGGGGCTTGTTCAAGGCAGCTGGGAGAGAGTTGCCACTGGTATAAACAGACAAGGGGATCAGGGAGGACTTTTTATTTTCCAACTGTGGCTGAGACCCAATTCTAGGGACAAAAAGTACTAAATGCTCTGCATTCTAAAGTTCTAAGAGCCATGGAGTATTGTCAAGGATGTGGGCGCAACCACCCCGGTGGGCTTGCTGGGAGGTGTCAGTGCAGAACCAGCACAGTGATCCGCCAACCCCTGTCGTCATAAGATTGGGAAGAGAAAAAGGGTCTTCAACCATTCTGGAAGGTTCTTCCTTCTCTCCCCAAAGCTGAGGGCAGAGGGCTTTCAGAGAAGTCCTGACACAGACTGGGATGCCCAAAGGTGAGGGTGCTGCCCTTTGTTCCTCACTTGCCTGCTCCTGTGCTGCCTGTGAACCATGGCAGGGCTGAGACAAGGGGCAGAGGGGGCATCTTGCAGACCCACTGTTGGACAAGTCAAAGACTTGAGCTCCAGATGGGAGTGAGAGGTGGAACAAAAGCAGGGCTTGAGCCATTTGTTGTTACTTTTCTAGAGGGCTGCCAGCAAGGCGAGGGAAACCTACCAGAAGGAGGCTGAAGGCTGGACCAACTTTGTAGGAAGCTGGATGGGGCAGATTGAAGACGGGAAATTGGTGGCACAGAGAGGTTAAACAGCTTGCCTAAAGTCACACAGCTAGGAGATGGCAAAGCCAGGGTATAAACCCAGAGAGTCTGGAGTTTCAACCACTAGAATACATTGCCCCTCAGCACAGTCAGAGGCAGTTACTGGAAGAAAAATAACACCAATTCCCGTCTCTACTTCAACAAGCGAAGACTTGATTTTGCTTTAAGAGGTAGGCTGGGCATGTCTGTAATCCCAGTACTTTGGGAGGTTGAGGTGGGTGGATCACCTGAGGTCCGGAGTTCGAGACCAGCCTGGCCAACATGGGGAAACCCTGTCTCTACTAAAAATACAAAAAATTAGCTGGGTGTGATGGTGCATACCTGTAATCACAGCTAATCGGGAGGCTGAGGCATGAGAATGGCTCGAACCCGGGAGGTGGAGGTTGCAGTGAGCCAAGATCGCACCAGCCTGGATGACAGAGCAAGACTCTGTCTCCAAAAAAAAAAGATCTAGAGTCTCAATTGCTGGGGATTCTGAGCCCCACCACATCTATCTACACCAGCTGCCTCTCACAGCCCTGCATCCTCCAGAGAAAGGGCCGAGGCTCACAGGAATATGTGCCAGAGGGGATACCGAGCAACACTCTCTCGGACTGCACCGGTGATGACTGTGGCAGCTCACAGGGCCCAGGCATCTCTAGCCTGGAGCTTGGGCTGAACCATGTGATCGGGTTTTAAGACCCCTCTGCCCAGGCCCCGCGGCGATGGCCAAGCTGGTTATGCCATGAAGCAGGAGTGAGTCATCCTGCTCACTCATTACATGTCCCACACTGTAATGGATGCAAATGAACGTTCTCAGCCAACACCACTTCTGCACACTCCTGTCCTTAAGCGGGCAGAACACAGTGCCATGGGGCTGCTGCTAGCACACCCCGCCCAATGCCTGCCTGCCCATGGCTTCTCCTTCTCATCTTAGGGCCGCCTGTGACTTTCCCATCTCCTGGCCTCAGTGTGCCCCCTCCCTGCTCCACCCTGTTCCAGGGACACATCAAAGCCTTCTCCACAGAAGGGCAGGATATCCTCAGGCACTGGTGGAATTCTGGTGTACCAGCCTCCCTGGCATTCCAAGGCTTTCTCAAGCTTGCCCCAAGTTCTTCTCAGAGGCAGGACTTGCCCGAGTCACTAGCCCCTGGGAGCCTGAGAGACGGGGAGAGGGAGGCCGGCCAGGGGACCCTCAGTCGTGCTGCCCTGGGGGTTAACCCAGCACACCGGGTTCACCACCCAGCCCTTTGAACGCTCATTTCCGTCTGAGTCAGTCATCAGCTGTTTCTTATGACTTGTCAGCAGAACCTCACGGGCTTTGGGGCAGAGGTGACAGGGGAAGGCAGTGGCACCCGCTCTCCCAGCATGACGCCTTTTTTCAAAAACTGGGCAAGCAGGGCCTGGCTTCCCTGGCATTGCTCTCCCAAGTCCCCTCCCTATCTTGTTGAGAAGAGCTCCCATTGTAAAATTCCAGCTGCTGCTGGGAATGCCCCCCGCCACCACCACCAATTCCCCTGCCAGTAGTGAGGTGGTGTTGAAACATCCAACAACGGGGCCTTCCCCCATATCCAAG